GTTGTAGTATATTTCCGCTTGCTGTTTCTGGGCTATCATCCTTATATGAGCCATGTCTCTTCGTTCTTCGGATTCGTCCAGGTCTTGTAACCTGCTTTCATCGTTATCCGGTCCACTGGTATGGGAATACCTCAGGCTTGGCTCTCCTAGACCAGTGAATATGGTGTTTCTCCCGTGCTGCATTTGGGCGTAGTCCGGTAGGCCCATAATACTTCAGGTAATAACTCGGGCCATGACCCTTTAGCGTCTTCGAGCTTCTTTTTCAATATGTTCAATATTGTTTTGTTGAAAGACTCGGCTTGGCCGTTGGCGGCGGGATGATACGGGGTGGAGAGTATCCGTTTGATGTGCCATTTCTTGAAGAATTCTGTTGTTTTTCTTCCGATGAACTGGGGTCCATTGTCACAGCTGATTTCTTTAGGGATGCCGAAGCGGCAAATGATATTTTTCCATATAAAGGCGATGACATCTTGCTCGCGTATTTGTGCCTACGCACCTGCTTCTATCCATTTAGAAAAATAGTTAGTCAAAACTAGAAGAAAGCGTACCTTTCCTCGTCCTGTCGGTAGAGGGCCGATTATGTCCATTCCCCACTTTATGAAGGGCCATGGCGAGGTGACTGAATGGAGAAGTTCCCCTGCCTGGTGTATCATGGGGGCATATATTTGGCACTGCTCGCATCTTCGAACATAATCTGCTGCTTCTTTCTTCATGGTAGGCCAGTAATATCCGGCGCGGATGAGGCATCGAACAAGGGTGTGGTTTCCTGTGTGGGCGCCACAATGGCCTTCGTGCACCTCCTCTAATACTTGCCTTGTTTGATGCGGCCCGAGGCATTTGGCAAGGGGACCTCCGATTGTTCTTTTGTAGAGATCGTGATTGATCAGGCTGTATCGGGCAGCCTGTACTCGGAGTTTCTTGGCTTCTTTTTTGTCGTGTGGAAGCGTTCCGTCCTGCAGGTAGGATAAAAACTGGTTGCGCCAGTCCCAAGTCAGGTTTAAAGAGAATACCTCGACATGGTCGATGGCCGAATGGAGGAGAGTCACCATATTTTCTTTGTTGATATTCTTGGTGGCTGTGGCTAGTTTAGCTAGGCTATCTGCCTCAACGTTTTGTGCCTTGGGAATTTGTTCGAAGCGACATTCGTCGAACTCATGCATCAGCTTGCGGATCTCTGACTGGTATTTTTGTAGCCGTTGTTCTTTGATTTGGTAAGTTCCGGTGACTTGATTTACGACAAGTTGGGAGTCGCAGTGGAGGATGAGCCGACGGGCCCCATATTTGATGGCTAATTTCATGCCTGCGGTCNAGCGTGACTCCCCCCGCCAGGACGGGCGGTGATATCTCTCCTGAGGTTCTCTCTACTGCATTGTTAAAACCCGTTACCGTTATGCAACGCGGTATTATCTTATCTTCGAGCCTCATTTGCATGAGGACTCTTGGGTGGATAATACACGCACCGCTTTCCGTCGTCTACCATGATTCTTTTCACATCGGTATCAGCAATGCGTAAAGTTATAACTAAAGCATCATAATGAGGGAAAGACAAACCGTCGGCATCAGACTTATCGAAGGTGATACCATCTTCGAAGTCGTCATACCGTTCGTGAGCGATCGTGCGTTTCAACTTGTGTGTGGTAGTGAACTTTACATGGTTGATTGCCGAGTCGTCTCCGCCGCCGACGATCATCTGTATGGTGCGTTCTGGAGAAGGTGGTTTCGGTGGTCCTTTGGATTGATCGCGTCCTCTGGCGAAATTAGTCCTTCCTTTATCGCTGAGTAGCTCCTTCAGGTATCCTTGGTTCAGCATTCTGACCACTTCCTGCCGTAGGCCTATGCAATCTTCAGTTTTGTGTCCTCTTTCCTGATGGAATTCGCATAGGACGTTCGACCTTCTTGCACTGGGGTCTGACTTCATTTTTTGTGGCCACTGCACCTTCGTGCCCAGCTTTTCCAGTGCGTACACTATTTCTGAAGGGGAGACACAAAAGTTATGAGCGGATAATAGTGGGGGAATACCTGTACGGCAGCTGCATGGCATATGGGTGTCTTGGAGGAGGCGGGTTAGGAGTTCTGACGTAAGGCTGGTGCCTTTCTCTGTTGAAGCGTGGAAGTGGTTCCCGTCGCCCGTCGTTGCGTCGGTCCCTCCTTACTTCTGATTGTACGGACGTTAGTCGTTGGGTTGGGCCGTTAAGGTCGTCTTCATCCGCTCTGACTTCGGCGCAATAGGCATTGTGGATCTCTTCCCACGTGGTGGGGGGATACTTCATGAGCCGATTGAGCAGCTTTTTGGTTGCTTTGGATCCGTCTCTGTTCAGCCCGTTTTGGAAAGCTGCCACCGCCATTCCTTCTGATACGTTCGGCAGTCCCATTCTTACCCTGTTGAATCGTGCCAGGAAGTCCCTGAGTCCTTCACCCGTTGTTTGCCTGATGGCGAAGATGTCGTTGACCCTAGCTTCGGCTTTCTTTGCTCCTGCGTGGGCGGTGGCGAACTTGTCCGCCATCTCTTCGAACGTTGATATCGATCTGGCCGGCAACTGAGAGTACCATGTGAGTGCTCCTCCCGTCAAAGTCTCCCCAAACTTTTTCAGCAACACAGATGGCACCTGTTCTTTCGATAGGTCATTACCTTTTACGGCGATCACGTAATGAATCAGGTGATCTTCTAGATCTGTGGTCCCGTCGTATATTTTCAAGTATGGTGGCATCTTGAAGGTTTTGGGGATTGGGTGAGGAGCAGCTCCCTCATTATATGGTTGCTCGACGAATCTTCCCATATCGCGTTTCGGCAGTAGCTTAGGGGCGCCAGGTATCTTGTCTACCCTCTCCTGGTGCTCCTTCATTTGATCACGAAGTGCTTTATTCTCGTTCTCCATCTCCTCCATTTTCTTAAGGATGGCTGTGAGCGCATCGTTGCTTGTATTGGAGTCAGTGTGGGCATTACCTGTTCGTGCAACGCTGGGCTCTCCGATGGTGGTGGTGATTTCTGCCATCAATGGATCTGTGATATTTCCCTGAGGTGGTTTCTCGAGCATGCTACTTAGAGTGTTCGTCAAACATTCCTCCAGTAGCTTTTTGACTACTGGGGGCGTTTCCTTTGCTGCAGGTGTAGAAGTCCCTCTTTCATGCAAAATCGTTAGATCTTCAAGTGAGGAGGGTGAGATCTCCCCCTCCTGTATGTTACTTGGTGTTATATTCGCGGTATTTTCTCTGCCTGCTTCGTTGAGTGGGCCTATGAGGTTAGTTGAGCCGTCTGCTATCATGTTCAACCTTGACTCTTTGTCTGCCATTTGTTAGTTTCTATGAGATCTGAAGAACAACGATGGTTGTTTCTGATATCCTAGATGTGAACTATGATTTCAACTACCGAAATCCCCACAGACGGCGCCAAATTGTTTGACCCAAAAGTAGTTTAATACTTTTTAAGCAAATCAATCAATGTAGATGAATGGGTAAATCGTAGTGGAAGATAATAAACCCTAGGATGATCTTGAATATAGAATCGGATAACAATAAGATAAACAAAGTTGATGAGAGAAAGTGATAAACTTCTGAAAGATAAGAGAGATAATATTAGAGAGAGAGAGAGAGAAGAGAGAGATTGTCTTTTCAGTAGTCAAAAAGTCCCCCTTTTACAAGGCTTAGATCCTCTTTATATAATAGAGGATCCTTGCTCCAATATTAAAAGGCAGAAAATAAAGTACATGTTATGGAGCGGCCGACGTGATCGTGGAGTCGTCCCTCATATTGCTCATAGGTCGCTCTTCTAGCCGGGCTTACGCACACTCGGTCGGTCGTGCTGGCTTGAAGAACGTAGTGGGTCAAATTCGGCCCCATACAGTGATATTGATGGCTAAAGTGATGGCAATTTTGACGGAGAAGAAGAAAAGAAAAAAACTAGAATAAAGAAAGTAGAAGCAAAAAGAAAGAAAGAAAAATAAAAGATAAATGAATAAATAATGAATAAAAAGAAAATAAAACTTGTATTAGTAAAAGATAATGACATGGCATCACGTGATTGGTGCGTGTGTTCCACACATTTTTGTGAAACTGATGCTTATGAAAAAAAAAAAGGGATTTTGTTTTACTTTAAACAATATCCGGGAGGTTATAGGACCCCCGCAAAATTAAAGGGCGCATTTGGTAAACACATGACAATCCCAAGGGTGATTATGTATTATCCCTATTATATAAGCCTTAACATTTGTTAGGACCGAAAAAAATCAGGTGTAATGCGGAAGCTAGCAAAGCAAACCTTGAGTGACGATAAATCCAACAACAAAAGAGAAATATACCAAAAGAGACACAAACATATAAGGTGGTTCGGTCAACTGACCTACATCCACGGCGAAGATGAGCAATTCACTAAATAAAAGAGAGTATAAAATATTGAGAGAATAACCTCAAGAAGAGGCAAACACAAGTGACACACTAACACTTGTCCCGTAAAGTTCTCCCCCTAAATACGACTATCAAACCACATATGGCTACATTGTGGATGCTACTGAATGAAAAGGACGGATCTTCAATTTATAGAACTCCAAATATTTTCCTACCAGAAAGGAGACTAGCCAAATATGAGAGATTTGTAATTTCTTTCTACAAAAAAGAAAATCAAATTATAACAAACATATTGTCTTTCCTTCGAGAGATAGGAAAATCAAATAAAAGCTGACTTGAACCGGACAACGCAAGTAAAATGAAAAATTAACACTAGTCTGTTGAATAGAGATGCAAATTGTCACAATTTACACGCTTCTAAAACAACAGGTCGATAACTCCGAAGTCAATGCCAGGTGGACATCCTCTGCTTGCCTTTTCCGTGTCATTTCGTTGTTGTTTCCATCTAATAGCTTCCCTTCCGCGTCATTACAATTAGATAATAGGTGTACTGAAGAAAAATGTCACAATCGTGTGATTCCAAAATTTTATGGACCCACATATATAAAAGATGGGTTCACAAATATGAGATAAAAAAAATGTATAAATTGTGTGAAACATAAAATAAAATCACTCGTGTACTGAACTTCGTGCAGAATATAATATTGATTTTGTTGTGGAAAGACAATGCTACGTGTTCCTTTCATTGATTTCTTCTTGCGTATGAATGTGATATTTAGAGAATATTTCTTATAAACGTGCATTTCTTTATTCGATCGGCATTTCTCCTTTCAAAACCCGACCTGTTAATATATAAGTAACAGTATAATATATAAATTCTTGCCTCTCCTTCGCACGCAACTATGGATCTCAGGGAGTCAATCAACAACCAGACGGATGTTTCTTTCATGCTAGCTAAGCACATTTTGTCCAAAGAGGTTAAAGGCGATACCAACCTTGTGTTGTCTCCTCTCTCAATTCAAATAGTACTTGGCCTTATTGCTGCCGGCTGTAAAGGACCAACTAAGGATCAGCTGCTCTGTTTCCTCAAGTCCAAATCCATTGATGAACTCAACTCTCTTTATTCTCATCTTGTCAATATCGTCTTTGTTGATGGCAGCCCCAATGGAGGTCCTCGTTTGTCTGTTGCTAATGGTGTTTGGATCGACCAAACACTCCCTCTTAAGCCTTCTTTCAAGCAGGTTGTGGATAATGTTTACAAGGCTGCTTTAGACTCTGTTGATTTTCAGAACAAGGTTAGTCCTTTTATTTAATTTGTTTCATTGAATTCTTATTACTTTTTCGTGCTGACTGTTTAAAATTGGTTTGTGAACTATCATAACCATATTTACTATTCACATCATAATCCTCGAAACACTATCATATGAGATGAGGGCAGATATTTGCAATTAATATTGGATTATTGACGCGTAATTGATTATTTGATTGATTGCTTGACCAATCTGACTTAAAAGAGTGGAAAGTATCAGACAATTAGGACAGTTGAAAGAATCTAATTTGATAAGCAACCAAGAATGCAGTAGGGTAGTGACTAATTGGCCATTTTATTGAGTGATAGTAAGCTTCTTCAGTAGATAAGCCTAAATTGTTCTAAGCTTAACTAGATACAGGTATGTGCTTAATTTCTTAAGCTCAGCTCGGCCTCACTTGTGCATATCTATACCCAATCCCAATCATTGCTTAACTAACATGTAAAACAGCCAACTCTGATCTTACTTACCCCTTCCTTGTACTGTGATCAGTTTATTACTGCAATTGCCCTTTGTTGGCTATATTTTAAAGAGAAAAAAAAATTGGCTGAAGGCATATATGTGCTAATTCTAGCATTACCTGTTTGTCTTTAAAATTGATTAAGGCTGCTGAGGTTGCCGATCAAGTCAATCAGTGGGCTAAAATGGAGACAAATGGTCTTATCAAAGAGATTCTTCCTCGTGATGCAGTGAACAACATGACAAGGCTGATTTTGGCCAATGCACTATATTTCAAGGGAGAATGGAATGAGAAGTTCACTGCTTCAGAGACGAAAGACCATGAATTCCATCTCCTCAATGGAGGGTCTATTCGAGCACCATTTATGACTACCAAGAAGAAGCAGTACATAGCAGCGTTTGATGGCTTTAAAGTATTAAGGCTTCCTTATAAACAAGGCACAGACACGCGTCGCTTCTTCATGTATTTCATTCTCCCAGATGCCCATGATGGATTACCTTCTTTATTGGAAAAAATCAGCTTAGAACCTGGATTTTTAAATAACCATGTTCCATATGGAAAAGTTCGAGCGCGCAACTTTCTTATCCCTAAATTCAAAATAACTTTTGGATTTGAAGCTTCCAACATTCTAAAGGGACTCGGCCTCACGTTGCCTTTTTGTGGTGGTGGCCTCACTGAGATGGTTGATTCTCCTATGCCTCAGAACCTGTCTGTTTCACAGGTTTTTCACAAGTCTTTCATTGAGGTAAATGAGGAAGGAACCGAAGCTGCAGCTGTTACCGCTACTGTAATAATGACCATGTCCTTGATTATTGAGAAGGAAATGGATTTTGTTGCGGACCATCCATTCCTATTCCTTATAAGAGACGAATCTACTGGTGCGGTGTTATTCATTGGCAGTGTAATGAATCCTCTAGCTGGTTAACCTAGGTGAATGTCTGAATTCAAATTATAGCATGGACGATAGAAAGCTTTATATTAGCATTGTGAGAGGAGTGTTATATTTGCAGAGAATTGTATATTTATCATCTGTTAGGACTAAGTTGAGTGGTGCTACGTATCTTCCGGAAACAGCCTCTGCCTTCTTGAAGGTAGGATCCTCCCAGACCTCACTTGTAGGATTACACTTTTTTTTTTTGTCATTGTTGTTGTTGTTGTACCCTTATGATGAAACCTTAATTCATATATCTCTGGCATCTTATATAATTTTATTTGTGCTTTATATTAGCGTAATGAAATATTGTATTGTACCACAACCTTTTTGTTTTCTTTTTATTAACTTTATTTTATTAGTAATATATATATAAAGGTTCCCTAATTTTTATGGCTAACTACTCATATATAAGGTAATGTACAATTGAGTTACTTTTCCTCCAAGAAAAGGATAAAAAAAAAATCTAATTATGATCGAACACTATTAACACAAACCTAATTAAAGTAGGCTAGCAACTTGTATGTCAAGAATCCGATTATCTCAAAAGACATAAAAAAGAAAAACCCGAGCATCTCCAAGTTTTTACTCACCAAGAATATAGTATTTTTGACAATATGGATTTCTATAGATCAATCTTAAAGCAAACGGATGTTTCTTTGATGCTTGCAAAACATGTCTTCTTCAGCAAACTTCGTCAGCCCAATGCCAACATGGTATTATCCCCACTCTCTATTCAAAAAGTTCTTGGTATGATTGCTGCTGGCTCAAAAGGTCGTTCATTGGACCAACTGTTGTCTTTTCTCAAGTTCAACTCCATTGAAGAACTTAACTATGTTTCTTCTCGGGTCATCACTGATATCTTTGCCGATGGCAGCCCCTATGGAGGTCCTCGTTTGTCCGTTGCTCATGGCGTTTGGATTGACAAAACTCTCTCTTTTAAGCCTTCTTTCAAACAGATTATGGACAATGTTTATAAGGCTGGTTACAGTTCTGTTGATTTTCTGCACAAGGTTAGTCCTGCGCTGATAATCAAATCATCTATTTTTAACATCTTAACTTTAGATAAGTACATCACAAAAGAATTTGCCTTTCGAATATTAAGATTTCAGATTACCTTAACTTTTCCCTTTTTATCATAGAGGTACGGATTTAACGCGATGTAATCAGGGGCGAAGCTACATGTCTTAAAGGGTGGTCAATTGATCGAAAAATTACACTGCATATATTAGGTAAAATATTAGGTTTTAGAGGTATATAACATATATTGAACGCCCTTTGTCGGAATTTTTTTCCACTTCTTTCAAGTTTGAACATCCTCGAGGAAATTCCTGGCTTCGCCACGGGATGTAATGTTTAGAGCAAAATTTTGATGCTGAAAAAAATGCTGATCAGCATGTTTGTTGACAGAATCTTTTCAAATTAGTAAGTAATATACGGGAATCTTATTTAGATACAGACGCGGCCCTTGCTTATATTAGACTTTAGACATTCATCAATGGATAGGTAGGGGCGGACCTACACGGTGTCAAGAGGCTTCATATAAACTCGCTTCGTCGCAAAATTGTAGGGTATGTAGATATAAATATCATCTAAAACAGAAGAAACTTTTATATATAATAACAATTGAATCCGATCCGCTTGACATTAAAAATAGAGTAGCTAGCAAATCTTGCTTTCTATGCCTAATGTTGATTTTATTTTCGCCTATCATCATATCAATCTGAACCTACTTATATAAAATCTTTGGTCCGCCACTGATGATAGGAAGATCAAGAAAAGATGTTACATACTAGTTCATAAATTGAGTTGGCGAATCTAGTATGCAGTATAAAGCATATTTTTTTGTCTTTTAATGTAAACTATATCTGCTAGTAGGTAGTAGCTTGCTGATTTATATTCGCTGTTTGTTCTAATTTTTTATCAAGGCTGATGAGGCTCGTGCTGAAGTCAATAAGTGGACTGAAGAGAAAACAAATTGTCTCATCAAAGAGATTCTTCCTCCCGGTGCAGTCGACTACAGAACATCGCTCATCTTGGCCAATGCATTATATTTCAAAGGAGCATGGTATGAGAAGTTCAATGCTTCAGATACAAAAGACGATGAGTTCCATCTCCTCAACGAAGGATCTGTTCAAGCGCCCTTCATGACCAGCCAAAAGAAGCAATACTTTGATGGTTTTAAAGTATTAAAGCTTCCTTATGAACAAGGCTATGATCGAAAGCGATGTTTCAGTATGTATTTATTTCTTCCAAATGCCCGCGATGGATTACCAGCTTTACTGGACAAAATTAGTTCGGAACCTGGATTCTTAAATCAACATATTCCATTAGACAGAGTTAAAGTGGGCAAATTTCTTGTCCCTAAGTTCAAGATATGTTTTGGGATTGAAGCTTCAGAGGTTCTAAAAGGAGTTGGTGTTACAGCACCTTTTATTAGTGGTCTCACTGAAATGGTGGATTACGATCAAGACTTGTTTGTTGATAAAGTTTTCCACAAGTCCTTTATTGAGGTAAATGAAGAGGGAACGGAAGCTGCAGCTGCAACTGCTGCTATGATTAATAAGGGAAGGACGGCAAGAAAGGAGGTAGACTTTGTTTCTCTTTCTGATTAGAGAAGATTCTGATTAGAGAAGACTTTGTTTCACTTTTAATTTTACTAAACGCGTAGATAAGCCAAAAAGTGCTTATAAGCCAGTTTGACCAGCTTATAAGCTTAGCCAAACACCCTCTAAGTCTACCCTTCTACCATATGAAATTACTCACTCAATTTTATCTTCCGTTATACTATTAGGTTCATTCATAACCTTGTTGTTTATAAATCTTCTAGTATTTGTCCTTGCTATTAATGAAGTTCCTGCGTGAATTGTGTGGATTCCACGGCTCAATACCATAAACTACTAAAGAAAAAAATGTACCTTTTGCTTTCCACTTTGAATAAAAGAACAATTGTAAAATAATTAATAGTAAGTGTTTTAGTGAACCATGTAAAACGAACACCAAAATTTTAATATTTAAAAGATGTTCTTTAGAGTCTATAGGCATCTTTTTGAAATGTGTCACCCACTGAGGCAATTCAAGTTTGGTGTTATTACATCTCATTTTGTAGTAATCATTCAAGGGATGACTCTTTTTTCGCATGAATTATCATTTCAGAAGCCTGTAAAGGCTTCAATGTTGGAACTGGCGTTAAAACTTGGAGTTAAAGCCTGTTTTCGGTGAAAATTGCAAAGTTTATTGCATGGAATAATCATCAAATCTTACTGTGCGAATATATACCACCGTTATCTTTGTTTCATACGGGGCCGGCTTAGGCCCCTAAAATGGGAGAAATTCAAAAATAGTCAGATTTATAAGTGGTCATTCAAAAATAGCACAATTTCAAAAGTAATATAAATTTAACCACTTTTCATGTAAAGATAAATCTGAACGAAAATACTGTTCAAAATCCGGAAAATACTCCAGCATAATATACTGGAGTTCCAGCATAAGTATACTGGAACTCCAGTATATTATAATGGAGTTCCAGCATAAGTATACTGGAATTCCAGCATATTATAATGGAGTTCCAGCGTAAGTATATTGGAACTCCAGCATAATATACTGGAGTTCCAGTATAATATACTGGTCCAGTATAATATGCTGGAAGTTCATACACAGGTGCTCCAATCTCCACTATATTATGCTGGAACTTTCCGCGTGTTGGAGTTCCAGCATAATATGCTGGAAGTTCATACACAGGTGCACCGATCTCCAGTATATTATGTTGGACCGGTCCCTGTTGCAGCAAAATAGTGGCTATTTTTCAATGACTTTGCAAACGCTGGCTATTTTTGAATGACCAGTCCGAAAACTGGCTAGCCCGTGCTATTTTTACCCCTAAAATCTATAAATTATATATATAATATTTAATAATTATGCACTATTGATAGAATTTTTAAATCATTTGGTTCAAATAGTTATAGGTAAAAGTTTTACAACTCTTAAATTGTAGTTGCTAGTTATTTCCCGTCTTTAATTCGTCCCAACTTAAATCGATCGCCTTACAAATGTTAGTTTAGAATAATTTTTCTTAATTCTTTGAGTGCCTTTGTAGATATTTTTCAAGCTACTTTAATAAGTAACTATTAAAATTCGTCCTTAACATTGAATGACTCTTGAAACATAGTAGTTATAATTACAGTATTATTTGTTTCAACTTATATTTAAAACTAAAAATGCTAAGAGAAATTGTATAAGTTGAAGAATACTCTAATTGACAAACTCAATCAGGTAAAAGGTGTTAATTCAATTACCATTAATAATTTCTATATGAGTTGCCTCAGTTGAATTTTTTTTGAAAAACTAAATCAATAAAGTTCAATATGATAAAACACAAGAAAGATTAAACAAATAGGTTAGACATTGGCAATAATTAAAACTCATTATAACTTCTTTAGTATAAATTTTAAGAGTAAATAACAATTAAAAAAAATTTAAGACCTCACTTTTTATTTTCGCCTTAGGCCCCATATTATGTCGAGCTGCCCCTGGTTTCATATTTAGAAAGCAACTAATGACCGCATTAGCAACACTTTCAACTATAATTTTCTTCAATTTACTTCACTTTTGGTATTATCTAATTTATGTATATGGATATTGAGTCTGGTTGGGTCATTCCTATTTTAAGGAAAAAATACAAAATTAATCGGTCCGCTGATAATTGCATTCGTTAGTCTAAAAAAATATAAAATATGTATAACACACACACACACACACACACACACACACACACATATATATATATATATATATATATATATATATATATAGTATCGGCTATTATTTTTAGAGCGGCTAAAAAATATATTTCTCCTATTTTAATTGGGTTATTATCTATTAGGCTGAAAATAAAAATATACCAAAAAATTGGTGTTATTTTTGTATGAGTGTCAGAGCTTTATGATTTTTATGTAAGAAAACAAATATTATATGATTTTAGTAAAAAGAAGTCATAATTATAACCATCTGTGAAACTTACCCTAACAATTAGAATCATGGAAAATATATTTTCATGAATAAACAATAAATAAAGATGAGAATGACTAAGCAAATCGGAAAATCAGAGGCAGTAATCGAGCCTGCGTCTGGTAAACGCAATTAAGTCCTAACCTTTTTAATTAGAGTAGTTAAGCAAGCGTAATTATGGTACTATAATTAGCGTACTACAGTATTACTTTTCCTTCGAAACGGGATTAACACAAACCCTAACCTCTATATAAGGAGTCTCAACTCTCTTCTCTAGTTTAATTTCACTCATCAGAATTTTAATCATCTCCAATCTGCAATATGGATTTCTGTCAATATTTTAGCAATATGAGTCTCCGGGAATCGGTTAAAAAGCAGAGCGATATTCCTTTGATGCTCGCGAAGCATGTATTCAGCAGCGAATTTAAAGGCATTGATTCTAACATGGTATTTTCACCACTCTCAATTCAAATAGTTCTTGGTCTCATTCCTACTGGCTCCAAAGGCCAGACGATGGAACAACTGTTGTCTTTTTTCAACCTCAACTCCATTGAAGAAGTCAATTCTCTTTCTTCTTGGCTCGTTGCTAATGTCTTAGTCGATGGCAGCCCAAGGGGAGGTCCTCGTTTGTCCGTTGCTAATGGGGCTTGGGTTGATCGAACTCTGTCTTTCAAGCATTCTTTCAAACAGATTATGGACAATGTTTACAAGGCTGCTTCGGCTTATGTTGATTTTCAGAACAAGGTTAGTCTTAGCCGTTCACTCGTTAATAAAGATTTTAGTTTAAAGATAACCGATAAAGGAGAATTAACCCAAATAGATATGTATAATTTTTGTATAGTAAATATATACTCCCTCCGTTTCAAATTAAACGAGGTAGTTTGACTCGGCACGGAGTTTAAGGAAAAAAAGAAAGACTTTTTAAATTTGTGGTCTTAAAAGCTTAAGGGGTAAGGCTTTGTGGGGCCATGACTTTTGTGTAATTATAAAAGCTTCTCATTAAGGGTAAAATGGGTAAAATGAGGAGTTTAAAGTTGAATTATTTCCAAATTTAGAAATGTGTCATTTATTTTGGAACAGATTAAAAAGTAAAGTAACTCATTTAATATGAAACGGAGGGAGTAATAATTTATGTATACCGGCTAGAAAAAATTAATATTGAATCTGGCTGGCTATAAAAATCCCAAAGATGATAAACCATTTTGCATATAGTATATGCTAACAAAGTATTTATGAGGCATGCTAAATCTTTTCAAATTAGTAAGAACATAGATATATTTATTGGTTTTTAATCTTTTGGTTTTTGTACTTTTTTAATATTATGAATTTTTCTCCTTTTAATGAACATTATGGACTTACCTATAGAACAAAAATATTTTATTTAAATATAATATATAAAAAAAATATTTTTCTCGCATATATAATGTCGAAATAATAATATAATTGAGCATAATATTCAAGAATATGTAATGTCTATTACAAAGATACCTTTATGTTAAATAATTATTTTCTATAGTACGTATATTTTAAAATTTTTATTTTCTTTCATTCTCAATTGTAAATAATTTTTTGGTTTTTTTTTTGTTAATATCAAAATTATTGTTACGAACAAATTTTAGTTAACTTTCTACTATGCTCAATATTTTATTATTCTAATATTATATATGCTTAAATAATATTTTAATTTTTTAATTTATAAATAAATTTTTTTTTCTAAGGTAAGTCCATAATATAAATTAAAAAGAGAAAAATTCTTATATTAAAAAGCTAAAAAAAGAAGAAGGTAAAAGTTGATAATTTAGAGGCTAAAATAGGTATTTTTTGGCGATCAAAAATTTGAGATATTTAGTTAAGTGACTTCTGAGTGCTATTAGCATAGTTAAGTGACTTTGTTGTTACAAACGGAAGAAAAATGACTTTGGTATATAATTTAGTGTCCATCTGAATAATGGACTTTCTTTATTGTGCTTTTCCAACATAATGCTACTCACTCTGCTCCATTTGTGGAGCTTTTCGCTTTTCAAAAGTCACTTTGACTAATCTTTAAAGCTATATTGGATTAGATTAACTCAATATTTTAAAGTTAAAAGTTAGATATTCAAAGTTGTAAATTTTTTCATACATAAGATGAAAAAATGCATTTCAAAATGTTGATCAAAATTTACATAGTTTGAAACTCGAAAAGCGAAAAGGTTCAAATCGGGAACGGCTGGAGTTTAAGATACTAACCAACATAAAGCAACTTTTTTTTTTTTTTTGAATATCACCTATATCCGTCTAGTAGCCTGGTCTGATGTTATGTTCCCTGTTTGTTTTAACTTATAATTTAAGCCTGATGAAGTTGCCAAAGAAGTCAATAAGTGGGCTGAAGAGAAAACTAATGGTCTCATCAAAGAGATTCTTCCTCCTGGTGCAGTACACAACATGACTAGGCTCATATTGGCCAATGCACTATATTTCAAAGGAGAATGGGTAAAGAAGTTCAACGCTTCAGAAACAAAAGACTATGAGTTCTATCTCCTCAATGGAACATCTATTAAAGCACCCTTTATGACTAAGAATAGATTGTCCACAGTAGCAGCAGCCTATGATGGCTTTAAAGTGTTGGGACTTCCTTATAAATATGGCAATGACAATCGTCGCTTTTGCATGTATTTTATTCTCCCTGATGCCAATGACGGCTTATCAACTATATGGGAGAAAATGACTTCAGAACCTGATTTCTTAAATCATCATCTGTAATCCGCTACTATGTTAAAACACAAAATCAAAAACCTGTTAGAAGAATAAAAGAAACTGGAAAACAGTAAAGAAAAAGAAATATTCCGAGTCCACAATTTGCTTGTGCGTCCTTAAAGAATTTTAACCCCCTCACACGTTGCCAAGGTAATGGATTAAATCCTCCCAGGATGAAACGGAATAAACCTTCCTGCAACAGTGGCAATACAAACTGCAGGATACCAACGAACTCAAAAAACGGAGCAAAATCACACTTACAAATTTGAGAGAGAGAGACTGCGAATTAGAATGCAGTATTTTCAGAAAAAAGAAAGTTTTGTAATTTTTTCAGTGTGTTAAAAACGAAGCCATGCCTCAGAATTTATAGGCAATTATTGGAAGAGGTGTGATGTTTGTTCTGGAAAAGGTGTCTGTTCAGAAGTTTACGCGTCCTGCCGCGGTTACGCTAGGACCGCGGCCAGAATGGCCTTCTGAATCTGCAGCAGTGTTCTGGCGCGGTCCTACCGCGGTCACGCCCGGACAGCGTCTAACTAACTGACATTTAATTAATTATTAAGTAATTAATTAAATAAATTTTGTCCAAAAATAATCTTATCGATCGATCATTTGACAAATCCAAATCCAAATCCAAATCCAAATCCGAAGCCGAGCCGAGCGATCGACGACGACGGCGCGAGGGTTCATTCTCTTCAACTCCTTTTAAGAGTTTTAAGAAGTGATTCTATATATATACACACAAATGTAGTTGTCCTTCACCAATGAGGGACAAAGTTCAAGACAAAAGCTCACTTCATTCAAATTTTCATTTCCCTCCATTTTATTTCCCACCATTTCCAATTCACACTCTTAGACTTTAAAACCCAATGCTTAAAGTCTTTGAAGCCCAATGCTTTAAAGTCCAACAATCCCCCACATGAATGGGAATGGCTGTAACAAGAATGATCATAGATGAAAGCTATGTGATTTGCAAGTAAGGATTAATTGCATCTGGATAAGTAGGTTTCCCTTTGAACTTTCCGTAGTGAACATATGTCGGATATACTCGGTCAATCGGTAGATTTGATATCTTTGAACCGTCGAACTTTAGTGTATACCTAGACAACCATTTGTCACACAACCAATCCTTAACCGTCTTTTGGTTCTCATTGTTGTGTTCGTTTCAGCCATGAACACCACCTGGTTTCATAAGTGCGTAGAGAATTGGCCTTACAGAATTCTCATTGAAGCGGATTCCACTTCACACTTACATAGGTGATTCCTAAACGTGTAATCCTTTAGATTGACACTATTTGATAAGTACCACATCAAACTTAGGTAATCATTAAAGAACGTGTAAAGTTCTATCCTTGTTACTGAACATTGTCTTCATCACGAGAAGGGACCAAAGATTTTACTTTGACAATGTTGAACCGATCAATCACAACTTTGTTTGAGCTCCTTGAACCTAAATCTTGGAACATCCAAAATTCTAGGTAGAGTTACCGCCATGTTGACTTGTCCTCGGCCATAGTCCCATTCCCTTAGATGATTTCTCAACTCCCTCTCTAGTTAAGCCTTTTGTAAGCGGATCCGCCACATTATCCTTTGATCTTACATAATCAATAGTGATAATTCCACTAGAAAGTAGTTGTCTAACGGTGTTATGTCTTCGTCGTATATGACGAGACTTTCCGTTATACATAACGTTCCCTGCCCGTCCTATTGCAGCCTCACTATCGCAATGTATGCAAATAGGAGCCAAAGGTTTTGGCCAGAACGGAATGTCTTCTAAGAAATTTCGAAGCCATTCAGCTTCTTCACCGGCTTTATCCAAAGCTATAAACTCTGATTCCATTGTAGAGCGAGCGATGCACGTTTGTTTGGAAGACTTCCAAGATACTGCTCCTCCACCAACAGTAAAAACATATCCACTTGTGGACTTTGTTTCTGTTGAGCCGGTTATCCAATTTGCATCACTATGTCCTTCGATAACCGCATGATATTTATTGTAGTGCAAAGCGTAGTCTTGGGTATATTCCAAATATCCCAGAACTCGTTTCATTGCCACCCAGTGATGTTTGTTTGGATTACTTGTGAATCGACTAAGTTTACTTATTGCACAAGCTATATCAGGTCGTGTACAGTTCATGATGTACATTAAGCTTCCCAACACACGAGCATACTCCAATTGAGACGTACTTTCACCTTTATTCTTTATAAGATGGTGATTTAAGTCAATTGGATTTCTTGCACTTCTAAATTCCAAGTGTTTGAATTTTTCAAGTACCATTTTCACGTAATGTGATTGAGACAAAGCTAGACCCTGAGGAGTCCTCTGGATTTTAATTCCTAGAATTACATCGGCAACTCCTAAGTCTTTCATATCAAACTTACTAGCAAGCATGCGCTTAGTAGCTTGAATGTCGGCAATGTCTTTGCTCATTATTAGCATATCATCAACATATAAGCAAACAATGACTATATGATTTGGAACGTTCTTAATGTAAACACATTTATCACATTCATTAATCTTAAAGCCATTCGACAATATACTGTGATCAAGATCCAGGAAGGGCCAGACATAATCAGAAAGAGCCATTTGACAACATTGTTTGGTCAAATTTCGCATGCCATTGCTTGGGTGCTTGTTTTAGTCCATAAAGGGACTTAACAAGTCGACACACCTTCTTTTCTTTTCTCGAAACCACAAACCCTTCGGGCTGGTTCATGTAAATTTCTTCCTCTAGATCACCATTTAAGAAGGCTGTTTTTACATCCATTTGATGGATTTGAAGACCATACAAGGCGGCTAACGCTATTAACATCCGAATGGATGTAATTCTTGTTACCGACGAGTATGTGTCAAAATAGTCAAGACCTTCTCGCTGTCTAAATCCTTTGACAACAAGTCTTGCCTTGTATTTGTCAATAGTACCATCATCTTTCATTTTCTTCTTGAAAATCCATTTAGAACCCAATGTTTTGTTACCTGGAGGAAGATCAACCAATTCCCAGGTATGGTTGCTCAACATGGATTCTATTTCACTATTGACAGCTTCTTTCCAATATTGTGCTTCTGAGGAAGACATTGCTTCCTTGAAGGTACAAGGCTCATTTTCTAGTAGGAAAGTCAGAAAATCTGGACCGAATGAAGTAGATGTCCGTTGACGTTTACTTCTTCTCGGATTTTCCTCATTAGGCATACCATCTGTTATTTCCTCCCGAGGTCGTTTTGACTTTTGGTAGGTCACTTCACTTTCCTTTTTATACGGATAAATAGTTTCAAAGAATTCAGCATTATCTGATTCTATTATCGTATTAACGTGAATCTCAGGATTTTCTGACTTATGAACCAGAAAACGATATGCCTTGCTATTGGTTACATATCCAATAAATACACAATCAACCGTTTTTGGACCTATCTTAACCCTTTTAGGTTTAGGAACTTGTACCTTAGCTAAACACCCCCACACTTTGAAGTATTTCAAGCTGGGCTTCCTTCCTTTCCATTTTTCATAGGGAATGGACTGTGTTTTACTATGAGGTACACGGTTGATTATTCGGTTAGCTGTAAGTATAGCTTCCCCCCACAAGTTCTGTGGTAAACCAGAACTTATCAACAACGCATTCATCATCTCTTTCAACATTCGATTCTTTCTCTCCGCAATTCCGTTAGATTGTGGAGAGTAAGGGGCAGTTGTTTGGTGAATAATGCCATTTTCCAAACATACTTCTTCAAAAGGAGATTCATAT